GTTCTATAATGTTAACAAAAAACTGAAGCTTAAAAAACCAGCAAGCCAAACCAGCAGTTCATCTCATATTCACTCACAGGATGTTGAAGAACTTTCTAAAGAAATGTTCAATATTAATGTCAGAATCAAACGATTATTTTTTAGCTTCACCCTCATTAGTAATGCATCCATGAAACCGAATGTCGAACTTATAATTAACATACTACGGCCATTTGTACACAATAGCTTGTCACACCTGAATCAGGCAAAAAGAAAACGAGGCAGCCAAGGTAGTGTAAACCAACTCAAGCTATGACTCCATAAGATTAAACCGGAGAGGCCATTGAGAAACATGAATGAAAACAGTTAGGAATAAGGGGATCAATATCTGTGATACAAGCAACCATTGAGTGATTAAGGGATTAACAATGAGAATTGAAAGAAGGCGGGGCAGCATTGGAAGCAACAAAGTTGCCGGTATTGCAGGTAGCAGATCGTGTGTTAATGAAACTGTTCTGTGACACCTCAGCCTGAGCTTATTAGTGGAGTTGCACCTTTGTGAACCATTCAATGAAATTGTGAAGAGGCCTTAATGATTATTGAGGTGGTGGCTCCGCCTGGTGATTGGCCGGACCATGTGTCAGTTTGGGGATATTTATGATATTTCTGCCTCAGTTAGACATGCATCCGTTGGATGTTATGGGTTTGAGATTGATGTAGAATTTTGGTGTTCAGTCAGAGACTGCTCTGTGTAATGCATGCCAGGGGTTTGGAATATTTAATACATTATGTGTCCTACATGGCTGGTGAGTAATGGCATTTTGTTCTAAATTCTGATATTATATTTATACTTTTCAGCAGTTTTTGTCTATATTCTGAATAAGTTTTGATTTTTAAAGTCCTGTGAAGTGTAACATTCATTTTGTTACGATAAACCTTGTTATGAAAATATTGTGATATATATTTTGACATCCCTGGTTATTGGGTTTGTCTAAAATTGTATGTAATATGCAGGGTAATGTGATGTCAGCCTGTTGATCATTGGTATTTTTCTCTCTACACGTTCATCATTATACACAGTGGTTTGTGATACTTCAAGGAAAGTTGTGTCAAAAGTGATGTTCTCAGCTTTAATTTTTTATCATTCTATAATCATTTTTAAATGTATTCCAGTTATATAACACTGTGCAATATGGAAAGAATAAATATTAATCATTCATATAAAAATGATATGGGAAGATGGTGATGTTTTAGTTTCAGAAGACTTGAACAATGAATCTGTTGCTTCTTGTAATGAACAGTGCGTTCATCTCAATCAGTACAGTACAGACTTAAGCTCTTGACATTTATTCTTTCCTGGGTTTGTGTTTTGGGCCACACCCAACTTTATGCGGACTAATTTTAGCAAGATCCTAATCTTCTCGTGGCAGAAGTGCAGACAAAACATTTACTCAGCTGATTCAAGAGCGGATTGATGTAGATGTTAAGGCCTGTGTTATTGATTCTATGAGGTCTCTTCGGTGTCATTTGAGAGAATATGTAATATATTACATTCCTTTGTGTTAAGGTGAATTAGTACTATTTATGTCCTTAAACTTGTCACTCCTTGTTGATATATCAACATAGATATAAAGACTCCTGTTTCAGTATATTAGATTGTGCAGAATGGTTCCAGTTTGAGGGGCAGTCAGTGTGGTAGACTTGCATAAGTCTCCAAGGTACTAATTAAAAGTTTCCATGATGACTTTAAAAACATATAAATATCTCTCTAACAGACTGGCATCCGTTTATCTAGGCTTCCATGGGCTTAGCATTCAGTACATCCTTGGAGCAAGGCTATCAGTGGGGTTGATCATATTGTTTAATGTGTTTATTAAAAGAACGGAAAATATATAGTTTAAACAATTGTTTATTTCCAAAGATAAATGGATCGATAGAAAGGGAAATATATCACAAGGATGAGTAAGAGTAAGGTTTTATGCATCTTTGCATGAAATATGGTTGTTGAGTCACACCAGGAAAGACTTCACACATTGTATATGGAATAGAACCCAGCAAGATGAGCCTACACCATATACCTACTCCCCTACCCAAGAACCTAAATATTTAACATGTGTATGTTCTATGATGAGTAGGAGATTTCACATACTGTACATGTGTCCTATATGTTAAATGTGTTAGAAAGCATACACTTAGAAACATGTTAGTTTCAATAAGTGGAATATACACTTGGAAACAAGTTGGAATGAAATTTCTGAATATTATGTTATTATGAGAAATACGTTAATATGGTAAAATATGGCAAATATGACTTATTAACATAAGGAAGGGTATTATATAAATAGTCCCAAGTTATTTTAAGAGTCCAATTTTGATTAATAAATACAATTTTTATAGTAAGCCCTACAAGTGGTTGAAATGAGACATGCAATGTTGGAGCTATGAGCAGGCATCCTTAATGAGACTGTCAACTTAAGGCTGCAAATCATATCAGTATGATTCAATGCCACTGCCTTGCTCCACCAGACATTGAATCCTAGGCCAACCATTGAATCTGGGGCCAGAGTAGGGTCCGTCCACTGGCTTGTCAGTCGACATGGCAAAGATGTGATTGCTTTGACACCATACCCACCAGATAATGAAATGACTCGTAAGCTAAGCTCTGTCCGCTGTCATGGCATGAGATGGTGATTAAGTAATCTATATTTGCTAGAATTAAGTGAATTATTGGAAGTGTACCACCGTTATTAAATATGGTGTCATATTCCATTTTTTCATCAATATCTGTAATAATTCTCTGTATCTGATTTGTGGGATTTAATTAAGGTCACATATAATTATTCATTTTTGTGCTATCAATAGTTTGTTCTTGGAAAATTACACTACTATTTATCTTATTTGTATAACATACTCTTGGAGATTTGTATTTTGTCAAGCTAGTCAGGACTAGGGACGAGTCGGAGGTTGAGTTACATTTGGATATTTTTGGCCCCAAGAACTGCCAAATTTGAGCAGAAGCTGTATAGTTCTAAGAACAGATAATCTAGAGATCAGGCTGAAAATGTGGCAATATTGTTGATATTTGTCAGGAAGTCTGTTCCTAATGCTTGAAGCAGTTACAGCTGTTGACCAATAATGATTTCTGATGAATAAAAAGTGACATAGTGAGATGTTTTGAGAGGAAGATATAGCAAAAGTCAAATTGTGAAATATTTTCATTGGAGGTTGTAGCAAAAATGACATAGTGAGATCTTTTCACAGGAGGTTGTAGCAAAATGTCATAGTGAGATCTTTTCACAGTAGGTTGTAGCAAAAATGACATAGTGAGATCTTTTCACAGTAGGTTGTAGCAAAAATGACATAGTGAGATCTTTTCACAGTAGGTTGTAGCAAAAATGACATAGTGAGAACTTTTCACAGTAGGTTGTAGCAAAAATGACATAGTGAGATCTTTTCATGGGAGGTTGTAAAAATTATGTTTTATGTATTCTGTCATGCATGGTTATGAAATATGACAAATTGCAAGTGATAAAAACAAGAGTGTTTGTCATCAGTCCTGTTGGATTGTCTGTTAACTTTCACACCAATTTCTAAAACCTTTCTGTGACTTTGGAAGTTTTGCAATTCCATCAGGCCTTCAAAGAACCCTTATCATACCTCAGCCTTTTAAATCAGAAATGTTCATTTCCTCAGGACACTTGATTGAAATATTAAAATTTTAAAAATTTGAATCAAAACTCTTAACTCGCATTATGTCAGAGCCATTCATGAATTTCAAGTTATTTAAAATCTAATTACAAGTCAGTAAAAAGTTATAAAAAGTTATATATTTTTCAAGTCAACAATGGCGTCGAAAATGACAACACCACTACATAAGGGCGACAGGAAGTATTGATATGATGACACATCTTCATTTTTGTGGAATTCCCAGAAAAAATTGGTCAAGTGGTCTTGCAATAAGTGTCAAGCAGGAAATTCCAGTGTTGAATATTGGCCATGTCGTGCTTTACAACCTGAAAACGTCAGCGGTCCATCAGTGGAAAAAGAATTGCCGTGTGTGTCATCTTTTAACAATTCTGCTTTTTCCCAACTGTGTAGCTATGGTGTCAGAGGACCCTCATGAATTATGGAAAAGGCGTCCCCACTTGAAATGAATCAAAATCAATGCCACCCCCCAAATAATTGACGGGCAGCCTCGTTGATCAAGGTGTGAGATGGACAAGTTGTTTCTAATTATGTTATGGTATGCATCGTCCGTTCCATGCTTGTAGCATGCTGTTAATATTGGCCCATCTTGTTAGTCATAACCCTGCAAGTATTGGTGCACAGTTCAACATCTACAGGTCTTAAAGATGGCTGTAATCTTTAGGGATACTGACAAGGCTGTCATTGTGCTCGGTGGCACAGACAACCGATTCACCTGTAAGAAGGTTTGATTACGGGATACTTGGAGAAGATGGTCTTTGCAGGGTAAAGGTGTTATTGATTTGTCAGTGGAATTGTGTCAGCATGGTATATTGTCATTGATGTAGTAGTAGTTGTTGTGGAAGTTGTTGAGGTTGACATATAGAAATAGTTGTAGGTATAGTAGTATTATATAGAAACAGCAGTGGTAAAACTAATAGTCTTTAGAAAGAGAGTGATGTTAGAAAAGGTTGCAGCAAAGGACGTATAACATAAAAAAGTATAAAAGTGGTGGTGGTGGTGGTGATGGTAGTAGTAGTAGTAGTAGTAGTAGTAGTAGTAGTAGTAGTAGTAGTAGTAGTAGTAGTAGTAGTAGTAGTAGTAGTAGTAAAAGTAATAGAATAACGGAAGTACAAATCATAGGATTGTGTTCTGATATTTCACATGAGCAATGATAAGGAACTTTACTGGGAACCTGTTCTGTCCTACTGTCTCCATCAAAGGTAGCATCAATATTATTGGCAGGTTATGTGCTTGCTTAGCTGTATTGTAAATATCATGTAAGATTTTCATGCATGTCATTCATGAATACGATTTCCACATTGTACTATTTCCAGATGTTAACTGGTCAGTCCGGTCGGCAGGAGAAAATGTATGGCAGCCCGGAGACTGGTGACATCAGTGGTCAGCATGGACATTCACCCCTACCTCAACCAATCTACCACACGCCTTCCCCTCATTGGCACAGTCCACCGCCTCAAGGGCAGATAACTCCAGGTCAGCCACATCCTGTACAGAGAGTAATGTCCCCTGGGCCAGGGTCACCTCCGCCCAACCCTTCTGCTGCTGTTTCCTTCTTTGCAAGGTGAGAGTTATGTCCAGATATATTACTGACTGACCTACAAAGATTCATGTACATATACATATATACATAGATACACACACACACACTGTTGCATTGATCGATGCTCATGTTGTTGATCACTGGATTGTCTGGTCCCTGGAATATTGCTGAGTGCGGTGTTCAACAACAAACAAACAAAACATAGGGGCAAGGCAATACAAAGTACTCAGAAGTGTTTTTGCCAGGCACCAGTGATCCATGTCTTCTGGCAATGTGATGCTCTTTGCGAAAAGGTTGTTTTTTTTAAAGCATAATATGTTTATGTAATGGATGGATTTCTCTCACAGATTTAAGCATTAAACATGTGAAGTTTTATGATTTTGCTATTAGTGTATCAGTTTCTTAATGAAATATTTTGAAAAAGGTTGAAATTAAATTAGACCGTCTCTATTATTTCACTTTTCAAATAAATTTGCCAAAATTCACATCATCAATTTTAATTATTATGAGAACCAGATTTGCATAATCCTATTTAAATTTGCAGCAAAATTGAAACAAATTCAAGCTCTTGAACATTTTGTTCTTGTTGCTAGAAAATACTGAATTCATTTTTAATCCTAATTGAAACCAGCTGAATTATTCCTCATAAATCGTTCAGAAAAAAAGTAAGTTCAAATTGGACAAAAAGTTGGTGCTATGCCTAATTACATTATGCTGCCCCAATGAAGGTGGTATTTTGTAGAGTTATCTGAATGCCAGCATTGCAGTGTCGTCTGTAATTGAATTTTGAACTCATTCTTCCAAAGACAGTGGTTAGGGGAACACACCATTAAAGTTAATGTACACTGTCATGATCGGAGGTGTGACGGGCATTGAAGGGTCTTTTAGATTCAGCACTGTGTCAGAAGACCGCCTGGGTTATAACAAGCTTGGCACAAGGATTGGTATGAAATTCATGAAATGTAACACACTTCTTTTATTATCACCTTTAAAGAGCATTTGTTGTGTTCTTCAGAATTGTTTTTTGATTCCTCGATACCACTGGCGCCCTGGGCCTCCTCAAATCCGTTTTAGTCTCACATGTTTTATGTTACGTGTGAAATGTCCCTTTCTTCTGGCTATGAGGATTATTCATTTGAGACTCGGGAGGATAAAGCAATTTTCATGGTGTCTGGGGGAACTTTTTCAATTAACATGCTTTTAAAGCTTCAATACTGACAAATGTTGAATTCAATGCTAAAATATTACACTGCAAGGCAAGAATTCTTATAACAAATGAGACGTTTGTTCCTTTGAAATTAAGGAGCTAATTTTTGTCATGTGTTGAAAAAGGGGATTACATGATGAAAAAAATCGGACAAAAAATGACGAATTTAGTAACACTGATCACCAAAGTCGTCAATAAAAAATCGTGACAAACTGCACACCCTTCTACAATGAAAGGCTCATTCTGATGCCTTGAATCAGGATGATCAAATTTGGCCCCAACTTTGGGAGGGGATACATTGATTATCCATAAAATAGCAGGCAACAAATTTCCCATAATTAATGAGTTTTTGTGACTGACTCATAGTATGTGGAAGCTACTACCAGACTTTTGAGGAGTATGACATCTCTGCCATTGGTGGAGAGGCCACTCATACCACGATTGGTTATGGAAGTAAATATTTACGAGCTTGTTGGACCATTGTCGTTATCGTTATGGTTGCAAGTAATGGTTAGAATCGGCCAATTCCGACTTAATCCCCATGCTTGGTAAATCCTCATCAGCGGATAGGATAATGATTCATTCTTTCCCGATAGTCAGTTGGATAGAAAGAAAGTGAGAGAATTTACCAGGTGTTAAGCTAATTAAGGGTTAAGCAAATAGAACATATTTTCTGGTCTAATATGCCATAATGGGTATTGTGGAGAAACGTATTGAGTGTGTTAAGGAGCTTTTGTTGCACTTTCTTTGTTGGGGGTGTAAGCAATTTGGTCGATAAACAGACCATGCTTTGACAGTTATTTGAGGTGATAATGATAGGATTAGGAGTGAATATTCACTGTGTTAATTAGAGCTGGAATATGCTATTGTCACTTTTGTCATAAATAAGACAAAAAAATATTGACAGGTATTTTTTGGTCATTATCCAAATTTGCGGTTGTGTTTAAGCTGATGATAATTTCCTATAAAATGTGGAAAAGAAAAGAAGCATGTATTGTTATTTATGGACAAAATGAAATAATATGAAACAAATTTTCATCGGTGAAGTCAAACAGCCTGCAGGGGAGAGAATACAAAATGGATTTGTCAATAGAATTTTTTTTCAATTTGGTTTAGATTGACATTACCATAGGGAAATATGGGAAGTTGAAACAGATCACTGCTTGTAAATTTCATGTCGTGACAGACGTTAGCGAAATACACAACGCAACCAAAAAATAATCAGTTTGATTTCCTAATATCTTTTTTGGTGATCTTGACAGATTTTCAGCTCCCACAGTGTTTCTGATTTTGAGTCTAGAGAGGACAAATAAAACAAGAATTTAAAAACTAGGTTCTCTGTTTGCAGTATCGATTTACTTGAATAACCTTCTGTTCATTTTGAATGGGCGCACAGTACAAATTACTAAATCAATTGATAGTATTTCCTTCTCCGCTCACCAGACTGAAACCTTACAAGAAGTTAAATGATATTACAGTAAAGTCATATTTGAGATGTGTTTTGCATTTCAGGTACAGAGCTTAACTGCAGGTGTGGTATCGATTTGGTTGTTGAGATTTATGCTGAAAACTATTTCCCTAATGCCCTATTTTATGGTTGAATAACCCTGGCCAATACGACTTACTGTGACAGGCTTAAAGCAAGAATTATGAGATTAAACACTCACCATCATTACTCAATGTCAGTGGTTGTATTCACTTGCTCACTAACGTGTTTAGAAAAGTAATTAATGGGGTACTTTTATGTTTGATTTCATTTCCATAATTTAATAAAAACCACAAGTTAACTTCTTGATAGATTTATAAAGGAAATTGGCCAGTTGTGAAATAGCCACAGAATGAAATGAAAAGTCATCAATTTCTGTCACCAAATAAACAGGAATGAATTACCTGATAATCAGAACTAAGCATAGTCGTTCATGTCAGGTGTTGATATCTAATTAACAACATAAGGTCCTATCTACTTACAATGTTGATGAATTGATTTGATAATAAGATATATGAGTTAACTGTTGGGATGACTGTCATCCTTGTCTGATGGGTGCTTTAGGATAAACAGATGGTCACTGAGGGGTACAGAGTTTAAAGCAATAAAATCCATCAATTTTGTTACTATTGTACATTGCTATTGTACATTTCAATGTCACTCTGCATGAGACTGTCACAGAAGGCTTTGAAATAAATTTGGGTTGATTTATTTTGGTTATGAGGTGGAGTCTAATATGGTTGACCTCAAAATTTCATCATCATTTTAATGAATAATGAATTTGAGCAGTGTGTCGTTTTGGGGATTAATGTTTGTCAGCTTTGCATGATTGATGACTGTGACCAGTGAGACTGAAATTGACAATGCTGTTGTGTGTGGTTTCAGGGAGCTGTTGTACCTTGACGAGGCTATAAACAAGAGTCGATTGTACTCCTTGTCATATTATTGAGAGCTTGCAGATGTTAAATAGTGAAACATTAACTCAAATCGAGACAAGTAGGATGATGTGTTTGTCGTTACCTGAAACTGTCATTTTTCAAAAGAGCCACTGAAACTTGAGATTACCTGTGAAATCGGTTTGGCTTTCTAATGAGGTTATCATATGACATCATATTAAACCTTTTTGTTTCATTGAATTTTCAAATCGCTCTGTGTTCAAATGGTAACTCAATCTTCCATTTAAAATTTGATAGTATTCATGTTTAAATGTTCAATATTGATCTGTCTGCAGTTTTTTTGGAGATAGAATTGTTACAATTTGAATGGGGATTTGAAATTGTCTTTGTCATATCATAATTCAAAAGTCCTGAATAAACACTTGAATCATCACACAAGTGTCTTTCACACATTCATACTGTGATGTAACTCATTTACATGAATATCACTCAGCTACAAATTGATGTTTTAAAGCAAAACTCATGTCTAACAATTAAACTGGAATGATCTAAGCTGTTTGGAACGTTTAAGTATGCTGTGAGGTGCTAAAGCATGCAATTGACATAAATTTGATAGTTTCAAAAAGTATCTAATTGCTGAAAAAATGAAACTGGAAGAATTAATTGGTTGGTTTCGAAAAATTAAAAATATAAACAAAAAACTGAAAATCGAAGACTTTTGACATTTCACATTAGGTGCCGCTACATGATCATGAAAACAATAAAGAAAGAAAGAAACATGTACACTAATGTAAGTCATCACTCATGACAAATTGGAATCGAAATGTCAATTTACACTTCTAGCCAAACATTCTCTAAAAATATGTTGGGGTAGTACAATTAGAGATAATTAGAGATAAACAACCTTCCAAGTTAACATTTTGATGTTGGTGGTTGAACTTTAAAAAAAATATATTTGAGAAAGGAGAATTCCCTTTAAGTCACCAGACAGTGATGCTGAATAAGCATATTGTTCACCTGAGGTTGGATACCAAGTGGGAACCACTTGACGACATATTGTGAATCTGTGATAAGCATTTGTTCCAGCATGGTGCCAGATACATATATTGGTCCATTCAAATTCCAGCTGGCTGAAAGTTAAGATGATACTTTCGGAAAGTTAAGAGACATGCATACCCCAATATATTCAACAATTAGATTGGTTAAGCCAACCTTGGGCTCGGCAGAATGTTAGGACTAGATTACTGTGGGAGTGCTACTTTAAGAAGGTCATCGGTAGACTGGACGCTAAATTAGACTTCTCATGGTTTAGTCAACCTGAGGGTAGACAGAAAATGCTGTCTTAAAAATTGGCTTAGGGGATAGCCCGCTTGTCAGACTGTGAGCACTCATCGTTTGAGGAAGGAATTGACTCATATCTATTGATGAGCTT